TAGGTCATTGGTGGCTCACGCCACCTGACAACAACACGTACAAATGATGGCCCCATTGTGAACATGTTAATTAGACAAAATAGTAAGAGGGAGTCCTGTGTTTAGAAGTAATGAATTGTGCAAGGTATCGTGTGTTCCAGTTGGAGCTGTTTTGTCTTGATTGTTAGGATGAATTACAACAATTTTAATAACAAAAGGTGTAATGCATCTGGAAAGAGTTTTGTTTATAGACACCATCCAAATGAAAATGTGGCTTAATAAAAAGTGTTGCTTTCTTTCTCCTGTTCATTAAATTTTACGACTAGATATTGAGAAACAATCGTTTCATTTCATAGTCTAGCATTTGATTGTGAAGCATTCTCAAATGTTTTAGCTAAAATTCTCTTCCTCCTGCAGTGATTATGAATATAGATTTCCCTGCTACCAGGTGACTCTAGTGGGTAGGTTTTCCAAGCTTATAAATAACTGATTTTCTTATTGAATCCAGCTGGTGCCAGTGAAGCTGTTAGCAGTGAGGTAATCTAGCTATTGGCTATGTTTTTACAAATTATTAAACTGAAGGAAAATAAAGAATGTTTATAAAGTAGCATTTCTTTTTTGTAAACATAAAAATGGGAATAACAGTAATGGAAAGATTGGTGATAAAATTCTTATTCTTGTCTTTGAAATAAGATGCAGTACTTAGCATGGGTAACAAATAGGCTAATTCTAGTTCTGCTGAAGAAATCCCTGGCCCTTCTGACGTTTGCCGCATTTTCAAATACAAATCTGGATTTTCTGTATTTATCCTCCTCACTTTTCTTGGGCAGCAAAACCCTCCTGAATTTCTTCCATTGTTTGTTTTGGAAACCAGTTGGAACTGACTTCGAGAGTTTTCATTCATCTGCAAGTATGTGTGCCTGAGTCCCGCTATGTATGGGCCCTGTGTGTGATCTGTACTAATTTAGAACACATAAGCAGATCTGAGCTGTGGAGACCTGTGATCTATGTGCTAGAAAGACGTGTTCATGAGTGTCTATACTTTAATCGTACATGCTAAATACAATAAGAAAGACAGGAACATTGTGTGAACAGAACTGAGAGGATGAAAGAAGAGAAAAGACTTCAGACAGGGAGAGCATTTGAGTTAGACTCGGTGGACCTGGAAGCATAGTGTGTGCTGCACAATCTAGCCGAGTATGGGAGGTGGGCAGGAGGAGCTCAGGCGAATATGAGTGACATTAGCCTCGTCATGCTTTTGTTTTCTCTTTTGTGGTGGCTCCTGGGACTGAACCCTGGCTTTGAGTGTGCTGAATAAGCATTCGAACCACTGACCTATGTTGCTAGCCTCCTTGAAGGTTGTTGAGCTAGGGAATAACTCAGGTTAGAACATTAGCAATATTCACATAGAAGTGGCTGCTTTGAGAGACCCAAGAAGTGTAGCAATTCACCTGAAAAGTAGGGGGAGTTCTAGGCTAGGGAGGTGAAGGTGATCAAGGGAAGGGAAAGGCAGGCTGCGTTCAGGTAGGGACGGATTTCTAGAGAGTCAGTTTGGGTGCTTGTTTATTGAGGGGTCCAGATTGAATCCCTGCTGAAGAGAAGCTGATTTGGAAGGGCTATGGAAAGCAGGGCGGCATTCTCTATCTTCACATTCTGTTTCTCAGTTAAAAGCACCACAGTCAAGTCCAGGAACTGTGCAAGCATATGGTGGATTTAATTCTGCAGATAACATAGGTGTCTACCATTGGGATAGTGCCAACAGGTAATTAGGGACCAGGATAACCTTGATTTGAACTCAGAAGTTCCTTGTTTATTCTTTTCTTTTCTTTCTTTTTGGTGGTGATGGGTGTGGTACTCAGATTTGAACTCAGGACTTTTACATTTTTTTTGTTTTGAAATGGGGTTTCACTTAGTTGCCTAGGCTAAGTTCAAACTTATGATTTCTCCTGCCTCACCCTCTCAGAGTGCTGGGACTACAGGTGTGTACTGCCATACCCGTTCCTATTTAGGTAATCTTGAGCAAGTATCAAAATTTTCAATTTCCTCATCTGTAAAGTGAAGGATAACAACACTCACAAAATATAGAATGCTTATTCATACCAATAAATTAGTGCATATAAAACATGAAGTGAAGGGCTGGGGAGATAGCTCATTGGTCTAAGCAGCTGTCCTGCAAGCACAAGGACCTGGATTCGATCCCTGATACCATGTGCCATGCTGACCCAGGAATACCAGGCATGCTGAGCCAGCCACTGAAACCAGGTGTGGTGGTGCACGCCTGTAATCCTAGCACTGGGGAGGCTGAGACAAGGGTCACTATGAGTCCGAGCTGCTTAGTGAGACCCTGTACCAAATAAATAAATTTTTTAAAAATACATACATCAAATGAAGCACCTAGCATATATGTGAGATAAAGGCTCCTCAGGCCTTGGCTGTGTTAACCCATGGGGAGTAGAGATTAGAGCCTGGGGTTGGGAGAAAAGTAGTGATGAATCGCCTATGGCGGATGGGGGCCTTGGGAATGGTGGGGCATCTGCCTGGGGTTAGGATAAGGCAGCTCCTTATGGGGAAGTGGGAGAAGCCATGTGAGGAGGTGGGGAACTTGTAGGATAGGCCCTGAGAGTGCAGTGTTAGTTATCTCAGGCCAGGAGAGGGGTTCAGGAGGAAGAGTACCCAATGCAGAGAGGTGGGGCGGGAACTGGAGGAGACAGGGGGTGTGGCTCTTCAGGAGTGCATCCAGCAGCCTGGGAAGAAGCATCCTCAGGAAGGCAGAAGTCGTTCCCTGGTGTTAAGGAGAAGTCAAGGAAAAGAAGGTTCCAAAGGCTAAGGAAGGGTTGGAAGGTAGGATTTTTAAAAAGCTTAAAGATGGGATGACTAAGTTTCACTCACAGTATAAATCTACAGGGTAGGATGCAGTGTGGAGTTCCCTGCCATCCATGCAAGCAGAGTCCCCCAGGAGCTCTGCTATGCCCACTCTGCAAGGCCCTGTGCAGCAGCACTAGTGCTGTGGCAAAATATATATTAATAATGGAATTAAGATACAGTGTAAAATAGTCACAACTTTAATTAATGGGAAAAAAGCCAGTCCTTGAAACAATCCTGTGAGTTTAAAGGTATTGCTATTCCCATTCTGTGGTAGCTGAGAGGGGCTAGGTAACCTGGCCAGAGTCACACAGCTTGTAAGTGCTCACAGCCAGGATTAAGTACAAGGCAGCCTGGCTATATAACTCATATTGTTAACAGCCATATTCTGGTGCTGCTTTGATTTTTGTGGCTGAATGGCTTAGGCTGAACCAGTGACATTTTCTGATGAAACAAGAAGGTACTAGAAAAGAGAACAGTTGTACACGAAGGAAAGGACTGGTGATTGCTGATAAGAGTAGTGTTCCAGAGGAGTTGGAACTGGGGTCAAGAGTACAGATAGAGGGGCAGGCCTGAAAAATCACCCACTTTCTATCTGAGAGAGGAGAAAGAGAAGATTGGCAGTAAATAATACAGAGAAAGACAGGCAAGAAATTTTGCAGGTCAAAGAGAAAGTTGATAATTTCAGGTGTTATTTTGAGGTACAGGAGAACACCATCCATTATGAGAATTATTCTGGTAGACTTTTGAAGTAATCGCTCACTGATATTTGATTAGATCAAACAGACCTTTGGAAAAGGGGCCGAGTGAGCTAGCATTGGGGTGGGAGGGTCATTGACCTTGACAGACGTCCACTGCAGCCCTCAGTGGAGCTGTGAATCATATTTGGGTCAGTTGCCCTGGATTTGATTTGTTGCCACAAGTGGAGCTGAACAGAAGTAAGGGTTTTGGAATTTGACGAGTGCTGAGGCAACAGTGAGATACATCACTAGAGTATGTGTCTCCGAGACTGACAATAGGGAAGAGTGTTTTGGTGGTTCTTGCTTTCTTTAAGGTTCTGAATTGATTATATTTTGTAGAGTAGAGTAAAAGACGTGAATATAAACCCAGTTTTTCTGTTGTTAGATTCAGTAGACACACAGCTGTTCTGTAAAGTTACTAAAAACAGTTTCTTTTTCAGGTTTGTTTTTTTAAAAATTGTATATATTTGGTACAGGGTCTCACTACATGGCTCAGCCCTCCTGGGGCGGGGCTGGCACAGAATGCAGTGCCAGAATTGAACCCACGTCCTTGCACTTGCCCAGGAAGGTGCTTAGACCACTGAGCTGTCTGTAGCCCTAAAAACAGTTTTGAGTGCTTGCTTTTAACTTAAGAAATGAGCTCTTTACACCCCGAGAAGCACATGGTACGCCTCGCTTTGCCTGGCACCCATGGAGACTTGATGCCAGTCAGGCCTGCCTACAGGTTCCAGTCCCCTATTCCAGTCCCCTGAGCTCTTTCTAGAGTGCGTAACCCAGTGCATTGCACAGGATAGATACTCTTTGTTTTACTTTTCTCTTATTGCTGAGACAAAATACCCAATACTCAAAGTTAAGGGAGAAAGTCTTAGTTATACAGTTTCTAGAGATTTTAGTCTATAATTGGCTGGCTCCAAGACAGGATGGCACTGCAGAAGAGAAGCAGCTCATGGCAGTCGAAGGTAGCAGTGCAATGAGGGGAAAACAAGGCTCTTTCTGTCCCTTATATTGTATCCAGTTTAGCAGGATTAGGGTGGTGCCAATCCAGTCAGCATTGCACCGTGAATCAGTCACACACTCTAGGTTAAGTCACCTCTAAAAAAGCCCGACCTATAACTGCATAGGCTTGGAGAGGAGACATTCAGACATAAACCAAAACACTCTTCCAATAATGCTGGTTAATCCCTGTGAGAGATGACTTTGTGTGCAGAGTAAGGTTAGCATAGCAAGTTTCTCGAAAAGATTTAATTAAAATATGTTCACCCATAGTGGGTAGAATCAAAGCAGAGTGTTTTATCTTCCTTGGCAGATTTCAAAAGCCACATCTTTATAGATTTCAGAAAACCTTAGTGCCCAGAAAGCCATGACTTGTCCCTCCTGCTCTGCACACTAACCTGAGCCATGGTTCATGTCTTCCTCTAGGTTGTGGCAGTGGCTAAGGTGTGTGGAACTGCTAGTGAGTCCCCTTCAGTGAAGAGCCTCCGCTTGCTTGTTGCCGATAAAGATTTTTCCTTTAAAGCTGGCCAGTGGTAAGTGGCGTTTTTGTTTTTCAAGGGTGTATATTTTAGAAGGTGCTATCAAATCAAAGGGACAACTATATGTTATCTTCTAGAGGGACTTTCTGTGGCTAGCTGTTGCCCAGAGTTCTAGGTCACTTCTGTTCATGGTGGGCCCTTTTTGACATGAAAAATCTGATTCCTTCTTTGGCCTGAGCCCATGGCCCCCTCTCTCAGTCAAGGCTGCTAGTGCTAGGAACCACTAGCGCTGATAATTATGTTCTGCAGGAATGCTTGCTAATAGAATGCACTGCAATAATCTGCTTGACTTATGTGTTGCTGGGGATTCAGACATTCTAAAACTTAGTCATCTTTGTGTCTGATACAGAGTAGACAAAGTAGTCTGGAGAGACGAACCCAGTACGTTAGGCAGGGCTGACCGTCCTCAACTGGATCCCTGTGTCGTACCTTGCCTGGGTTGAGTTTAAATATTTTGCTAACATTTATTTTCAGGATTCCCCAGTCACCCCCCACCCCAGCACACACACTAAGTGTGTCCCATTCGACTGAGGACTAATCAGTATGCCAACAGGCGAATAGCCCAGCTGTCCCACTATTTCTCCAAATGGCCTCACGGAGCTGCAATTCAAGTTGAATTGTAAATAAAGCAACTTGTATTTCCTAAGGAAAGGTGTGTTTGGGTGTGTATGTCCTTTATTTAAAAAAAGCATTCATTTCTAAATGAATTTTTGGCATGTCAGTCTTGGTAGTATTTCTTAGGAGTCTCTTGACTAATTTTGGCAGTCCATCTGGAAATGGGGTTTTGTTAGAAGGAGGATGTGTGATAATAGCAAGTGTGATAATAGCAAGAGTTAGCAGGCTTGTGTTAATAGTTTGCCTTTGAATTTAGAACTAGAAAACAAGATGCTGATTGCAATAATTTGCGTTTGTGAAGCAATTTACTGCAATCTTTGCACATGTTCAGTGATACATATTAAATGTATTTTGGCAGTTTTGGGGGGTGGGCCACATATTTACCCTTCAAAATGGTTTAGCAGTTACTACATTGAAAAGTGGAAACTTTAATTGTAATGGCCTGGTTTTCCTCATTTCCCTTCTATGGAAGTATTCGCATCCTGTGTACAATATTGTCTCTGCATTCAACTCTGAACTCTGACGACACTCAGAGCCCTGTCTCCTGCACAGGAAAGGCTGGGTGTTGGTTACAGTGCTGTCACCATGATGTACCTGCTAGTGGATTAACACTTGTTATGTATCTCACCCCAGAGAGTGGATTTGGTCATTTCATTGATGTGGGGACTGGTTTTGTGTGTGCCTGACCCCTTGAAGCAAGGAGTGGTGGTGATTGGTTGGCTAGCAGTACTGTTTTTCTGCTAGCATGGGTCAGTACTTATTCCTTGCCCCAGGCCCTCCCCTTTTAAAAGGTTGCACTCTTACTGTTGGCTTATTGTATACCTCTACAGGGTATAGTCACAGGATAGTCATTTTGCTTAGATTGGTGATGTGAATCCATCCCAGGCTCTAGGACCTTATTTCTGCAGATTGGTAGTATGCCATTTGGCATATTGGAGAAGAGAGTTGGAAAATGCCTGCCACGCAGTCTGTGTAGTTAGGATTATCGGAGCAGAGAGCTGCTGTCTATAAGGTGAGGATTGCTCTTAAGCTCACCTCTGGGACAGAAGACTGGGTCATGGTTCCACATCTCTGATTTCTTGACTGGTGACTTTCTCTGACACCTGTCAAACTATCAGATGAGGATCCAGACCCAACTGTAAGTAAATAAAAGACTGCTGGGGCTGGAGAGATGGCTCAGTGGTCTAAAGCACCTACTTAGAACAAGCTTGGCAAAGCACAGGGACCGCGGTTCGATCCCCCAGCACCACATGCCAGCCAGCCCCGCCCCCTGGTGGGCTGAGCTGGCCACACACACACACACACACACACACACACACACTAAATAAATGTAAAAAAATTTTTTTTTAAAAAAAAGACAGCTGCCTTAGGGCTGGCAAGATAGCTCAGCAGACTAAGCGTCTGCTTAGGCAAGCACAGGGACCTGGGTTCAATGCCCAACACCACATGCCATGCCAGCTCCACCCCTGGGCTCACTGAGCCGGCCAGCAAGTCTGGGCATGGTAGCGCACACCTGTAATCCCAGTGCTGTGGAGGCTGAAAACAGGAGGATCACTATGAGTCCAAGTTGCATAGTGAGACCCTGCACCAAATATATATATTTGAAAAAAAAAAAGAATGCTGTCTGTGACCAACTGGAAATCTGGCTGCAGACTCCTTCAGCAGAGGCCTGGAGTGAGTCACAGGGGCCCTTGCTGCACTGTACTGTGGTCTTACTGGCCCCTCTCCAGGGGTCGTGTACGTGGAAGCCAGTTTAGCAGTCAAGCCCAGAGGAAAATGTCAGAGAGGAAACCACCTCAGAAAACATATGTGAGCAGGCCAAAACCCTGAGTTCTTCTCACTGGTGGACAGACTGCTCGCCTGGCAGCTAGCTCTTTGGAGAGTCCAGCCACTCACCTTGTCAGAATTCCTTCTCAATGGAGTGGGACGAGCATGCCACCAGCAGTCCCTAGGCAGTATGCAGCTCCCCCTTCCAGTGTGGCATTTGTTGCCTGTCTCCTGCAGTGGCTGCTGTGCTGTGGGTAGAATCCCATCCCAGGCATGAGGCCGAGTGGACTCATGTTCTGTGGACTGCCTGACTCACATGCTTGTGGTCTGTCTGTGCCTATGTAGGGCAGCTTCTGCATTCCTCTGGGCTTCAGTGTTCAGCTCGTTAAAGAGGGTGCAGTAGTTTGGGGATATTTTAAGTGTTTAGCACAATGCCTATTTATGAATTGGGTTCTTGTTAGCATTTCACTTAGGTAGGTCCTCTGTGCTGGTGAGATGCAAGGAACAAGTTCACTTCTTAGCTCCTTGGTCATTTTCCATGCAGTGGAGCTGTTGGTTAGCAGCATGGCAGACCAAGGTGAAGTGGATGAAGGCGCCGCACCACTGTGATGGCACAGACACCACCCTGTACTTAGTTCATGCTGGCTGAGCAGAGAGGGTGCCACCTAGGGGCGGCGAGGCCAGGATGTTTTCTCAGTGAAGCAGATGAGGGGAGCAAGATGGAGCAGTAAGGCCCTACCCCTGTCCTGCAGCAGGGCCTCTCTGTGTGTTAGACAGTGCACGGCCTACACAGTCACTGCAGCAGCCCTGACTTTCATCAGACGGTCACATGAATACAATAATGATTATATTTATTGCATTCATCAGCCCTTTGTTCAGATCCTGTCTTCCACTGTGCTCTGTGTCATTTAAAACTTGGTTTATGGCCGGGGAGATGGCTCAGTAGAATAAGGGCTTGCCTGGCAAGTGCAAGGTCCTGAATTCAATCCCCAGTACTGAAAAAAATTAAAAAAAAAAAAAAAGAAAGATAAAATAAAAAGTAAAAAGTAAAAAAATAAAAAATAAAGTTTTGGGGCCGGGGAGATGGCTTAGTAGAATAAGTGCTTCCCTGGTAAGCACAAGGTCCTGAATTCAATCCCCAGTTCTGCCAAAAAAAAAAAAAGAACACCTTGGTTTAAGCAACATGTGCCCTGTGAGGTCTACTTCCTCCACTCTTGGTATAGGTAGCTACTACTGCCTGTCTGTCTCCCTACTCTAAGCTGATTTTCTCCCATTAAAGTGGGTTTACTGAAGGCAGGAACCAAGGCATCCATGATGGTTGTACCTCCTGCAGTGGTACCTGGTCACGAAGTTAATGTATTCAATTTGGAAAAGATGGCCACAGTTGTGTTTGTCACCCGATGCAGAGTTCACAAACGAAAGTTTTACCAAATGCTTCCATTTGAGAACCAAATGGTTTGCAAACAGAAGCATGCGTGATTGAGGCATGAATACACCATGGAGGTGGGGGTTTGCCATTGTTGCACAGGCTAATGAGTGAGGAGCTGAGTGCGGTGGCAGAGGACTAGAGTTTGGGCTCTCACGGTACAGCAAGGGCCCCGTGACTCACTCTATCATTTGGCCCTGGCGTGCATGCCTGCTCCCCACTAGATACTGGGGCTCCTCCTGTAGACAGGGCTGGCTGCTAGTGGTGTCAGAGTTGGGCATGGACGCATCAGCCACTGCCCGTCTGGGCTCCACTTCTGCGAGTATACAGTAGGCACCTCTGTGCAAGGTTCCCAAGGTGGCTGACCCTGCAAAGGTGGTTTTCTTGGACTGATATTTTATGAAATCCATATTGTTTATATTTTTAAAAATCTATATGTGGCTTTTAATGTAATTTGAATGTTTCTGTATCAAGTTTATTGGGAAGGTGGCTTTTCAGTTATACTAGGAAAGAGGGTTCCTTCCACTTATTTCGGAGGTTTTTATCAGCATTGCACAGAAGAGGGCGCTGTGCTTCAGGAGATGAAGAAGCAAAACTAGCTCTGATTTATTTTTCAAACATGGAAATAGTGGAGATTCTGTGGTCTCCTGATAGCATATAGCAACTGTATTAATACATTTTAGTCTTCTTTGAAATTAAAGGTAAGTTAATTTTCACAGGAAAGAATCCAGTGGAAGTAAGCTATGGAGCTTTCCTGGAGCACTTCCAACCCAGAGTTGGGTTTTAAAGATTCTAATAATAAGCAAATATTTAAGGCTAGAGATTAGAGGACATAGGTTGATGTGGTGGATCTAACCAGTAAAGAGCATCTAGTTCTTCCCAGAGAAGTCTGCATGTAAGATGGCTAATGAGACATGATACTTCTTGCTCCTTTGTGGTAGAGAAACACCTAAAATGAATGTTTACACTCCCTAGATAGGGAGTTGAGAATTTTTTGTGGTACCAGGTTGTGATAAATTTTCCTTTCCTTGGTATATATCCAGGGTTGTTGCATTGCCTTTAAATTCCCAATAAGAAAAACAGTTTCTGTGGTATAGAATTTTGAAACTTGGGAGACTTCTAGAGTATTAAGAATGAGATTAGAAGAAAAGAAAGGCATATAAAGCTTCAGAAGTTAGAAGGCCACATTAGCCTGTTTAAGTTTGGCAAATATCAGTGAAAGTTTTTATTGCCATTGGTTTGGTTTGGTTTTTGAGATGGGGGTCTCACTAGGTAGTTCAGGATGTCCTTAAACTCACTGTGTAGCCTCAGCTGGCCTCATGCCAAGGCAGTCCTCCTGCCTCAGCTTCCTAAGTGCTGGGATTATAGATAGGTACCATCATGCCTGGCAGTTGCCACTGTTTTTGAAAGAAAGTTTTACTGAAATATAATTTACATGTAAAATTCACTTAACATATCCAATTTACTAGATTTAATTATACTCAAGAGTTGTGTAGCCATCATTATAATCCATATTTTAGGACATTTTTATCATCCCATGAAGAAAGCTTGCTGAGTTACCATTCTCTATCCTCCTGATGCAAAGACAGCTGTAGATCTACTGTCTTGTCTCTTTGGATTTGCCCATTCTAGGCAAATACATACATGGAATCATATGGCATGTGGTTTATTTTTCACTTTTTCTAGCTTTCCTTCACTTAATTTCAGGCTATTCCCGTGTTGTAGCATGTATCAGTACTTCATTCCATTGTAAGGCCATAGCATATTTTGTTGATTCATTCATCAACTCATGGACATCTTAGATTTTTTTCCACTTTGGGTCTACTAAGGATAATGCTGCCATGAACATTGGTGTTCAAGTTTTTGAGTGGATGTATATTTTCATTTCTCCTGGTTATAAACATAGGAGTTGAATTTTGGGCCATCTGATAAACTGTTTAACATTTTTATGCACTGCCAAATTGTATCCTAAAGTGGTTTTATCATTTGGCAAGAAATATATGAGTTTGTTTCTCAGATCCTCCCCAGTACTTGGCTGTTGTTTGGATTTTGGGTGTAGATTTGATTATCAGTTCCCTAATGACTAATGCTGTCGAACAACTTTTTATTTGTGTATTAGTTACTTAGGTATCTTCTTTGAAGAAATGTTAATTAAAACATTTTGCTCATTTTACAATTTGGGTTATCTTTACTGCTGAGTTGGAGTTTTTTGTATAATTTGTGAATTCAAGTCTCTTAATGGAGAAAATTATCTTTTTTCGCCCCTCTTCTTGGCTAGTAAGGCCTGGGAGATAGCTGGCAAGTGCAAGGTCCCAAATTCGATCTCCTGGTACCAAAAAAAGAAAAGGTTTTCCCTTCCTGGCTAGCAGGAGTTGAAGTCCTTTGCACTGAATTACATGTCCAGCCTTTTTTATTTGTGAGACAGGGTCTTGTTAACAGCTGCCCAGAGTAGGCTCAAACTTAAGCTCTTCCTGCTTCAGCCTCCCAGGGAGCTACAACTGCAGGCATGTGCCATTGCATCCTGCTTGTTTTTGTTTTTTTTTTTAACTTTTTTTTTTTTTTTAATCTTTTATTTATTTGGTACAGGGTCTTGGTACACAGCTGGGACTCATAGTGATCCTCCTGTCTCAGCCTCCCCAGTACTGGGATTACAGGAGTGTGCCACCACGCCTGGCCATCATGACACACCTGGGGTTCCAGTACCAGCACTACATGTGGTACCAGAGATTGAACCTAGATCCTTGCCCTTACCAAGAAGGTGCTTAGACTAACACTGAGCTGACAGTATCATTTATAGCAGAGTTTTTAATTTTGATGAAACCTTATTTCTCTTTTTTTCATTTTTGACCATTGTGACTTGATGCCATATCAAAAAATCTATAACCTGTGGGGTTTTTTTCTAGAAATTTATTGTTTTGGCCCTTTTTTGAAACTTGTATTCATTTTTACTTAATTTTTACATATAATAAAAGGTATGAGTCCAACTTCACAGTTTTGTATGTGGACATTAGTTGTCCTAGTACCATTGGCCAAATAAACTATCTTGGCACCTTAGTCAAAAATCAGTTTCCCATAAACTTAGTGGTTAATTTCTAGACTTGTGTTATTTGCTGCCTGTCTCTGTCCTTGGGCTGTACCAGGACTACAGTGTCTTCATTACTGTGGCTGTTTAGTAACTTTGGAAATCAGGAGATAAGACTTCCACCAAATTTATTCTTTTACAAGATTCTGGTTTCCTTCAGTTTCCTATATGAACTTTTTGATCAAGTTATCACTTTGTACAAAGAAACCAGCTAATGTTTTGGTAGGTATTGTATTGAGTCAGTGGATAAATTTGAAGGATATTACCATCTTAAAAATGTTAAGTCTTTCAAGTCATGAACATGGGATATCTTTCCACTTATTTGGACCATTAAGTTCTTTTTCCAGTCATGGTTTTAAATTTCAGTGTATGAGTGTTATACTTTCCAATCATGGATTTAAATTTCAGCATATAAGTCTTATGCTGGTTTTTAAAGTTGTCTTCTTTTTATGGTATTATAAATGGAAGGTTTTCTAAATTCAAAGTTGGATTTTTCACTGACAATATACAGAAAAAATACTGAGTTTTGAATACTAATCATGTTTGAACATGTTTATTAATATCTTTTCAGTGAATTCCTTTGGATTTTCCATGTTTGAGCTCATGCCTTTCCTGCAGTAATCAGAATGTGTTTTATTTGACTTTCTTGCTTTCACTGGCTAGAACCTAGTACACTGTTGAGTAGAAGCAGTAGAAGTAGACATCCTTGTCTTGTTCCCGGGAGGAAATGTTCAGCCTTCCGCCATTAAATTTGATGTCAGTGTTGGGTCTTTTATAAATGCCCCTTCTTGTGTTGAAGAAGTTCTCATTTATTTTTATTTGCTTGAGTATTTTCATCATGAAAATGTATTCTGTTAAATGCCTTTGCTGCATCTAGTAACATAGTGGGTTTTATTGATTTTCAAATGTTAAACAAACCTTGTATTCCTTGGATCATTCTGTCTTTATTCACAAGGGATATTGGTCCATAGTTTCCTTGTAGTATCTTTGCCTGGTTTGGATATCAGGGTAATACTGGGCTTATATAAGATGAGTTGGGAAGTTTCCCTTTGTTTTGGGAAGTTTGTGAAGGATAAGTATTCTTTTGAGTTTTTTCACCAGTGATACCACCTCAACCAGGACTTTTCTTTGTTGGAGTCTTAAAATTACTAATTCAACCCTTTAATTTCTTAGAGGTCGGTTCATATTTTGTTTCTTTGTGAGGTACAGCTGGTAGTTTATGTATTTTTAGGAATAGATGCATTTTATCTAGGTTAACTAATTTTCGGCATACAGTTCAAGTTCCTTTATACTCTTTTTGTATGGTTGGTGATAATGACCCCTTCTGTTCTTAATTTTACAGTTTTTCTTTTTTTCTTCCTCTAAAATGTTGTCAATTTTGCTTACTGTGTTGCCTATTTTAAAATTACTTTTAACAGTAATCATTTATTTGCCTTTTTCAGGATTGATTTCTTCATCCCAGGAGTCTCTGTGGTTGGTGGGTTTTCAGTGTGCTCCAGCCCCAGACTGCTAGAACAAGAGAGAATGATAGAGTTGGCGGTGAAATACACAAGTCACCCTCCTGCGCTCTGGGTTCACAATGAGGTGAGCATCTACCTTTTAAACTGAGAGATTTGGCATCTCTGCCTCCCACAAGATCGCCTCCCACAAGATCTCTGTTCAGCTCACTTGTTCCATCTACAGAACCTGGTATTGAACATAAAAGGTTTTCATGTTCACAATGAGCTTTCCAGAAAGGGTAAAGGAGCAGAATTTTTTTAATATATTAAGTGTGGCTCAAAAGGACTGGGATTTGGAGATATTTTGTCTTACCAAATAATATCCAATAGAATATTGTGAGAATTAAAACATTTTGCATTTTATCTTAAGTCTTTGAAATTTGGCTTTGTTTGCTATGTAAAAGGTAAATTGTACTATTTTAGTATAATTATAAATAAAGGAAATTATCATCCTGTCTGGTATTTGGAGAAAACATTTCTAATTATAGAATACTGCTGGTGTCCAGAGATGAACACTTACAAATCCATGGTGTTCTCTAGTCCTGTTGATCTCTTTATGTGGGACTCTGAGAGGGAATCCAAATTTAACCAATGCTAATAACTCATGCTTTATTACAGGGTTCAGCACAAATCCTACATAAGTTGACTGTCATTACCAGCTAGAACTCTGGTAACAAAAATATACTCATGTGAGTTAATTATCATCTTAG